AAAAAATATATGAATACTATTATATTATAAATGATTTTTTGATTCCAAAGTGACTCGATTGTGTAGCAAAGATATAGGGAATCAGTAATATTTTTATTAATTAAGCAATTAGTATTCTCAATTTTAAAATGATGCAAAATCAGCATAAATAAAGCTTAGCTGAGCTTAAATAATTAATTTTTTTAAATTTAAATTTCTGATAATATTCGTTTAAGGCGAACTTCTTTTATAATTTATGCAATTATTGCTGAAATCTGTAGCGTTCTATGCGGATGCCTCTAGTCGCATCTAACTATAGTTAAACACTCTATTATGACTTTTTGCGCTCTAATAATGTAGAAGAGGGTATGCTGAACTAGAGGGTAAGTATTTGAAATTCTAAATGCAAAAATTTGCAGCAATTCATTCATTTGAAAAATAAAAAGTTGAGTGAAATTAAATAAAATATATTCGCTTGCTGAGTTAAGTTAAGAAAATTTAATAAATTTTTTCTTGTTAAGAACTTGTTTCTGCCTTAGGGTATATTGGCTTCGGTGTCATGGTTTTTACCATGTTTATTTTTGCTGTAATTAATCACGAGGAAAAACAACAAAATCAAGTACAGACTCAAACTGGTTCGAGTAGTAGGCGGTACGACCAGGGACTGAGCCTGAGCAGCAGTATAAAGCCCAACTGACGCCAGTCGCTGTTAGCGAAGGCAACGAAGCGGACGTTCAACTGGAATACTAGGAAAATGGGTACGTAGATCGATAGTTCGAGACTATCACTCACTAACTCTCTCTCTCGCTCTCTCGCTCTTTCTCTCTTTTACTATAGCTAAACCTGGTTTTATACTCTTGCTGCTGGCTGTATTGGGCGCCTGTCTGGCTGTGACACTGGCAGCCGGCGGTAAGTCATGGCCATAATGAACAGGCAACAGGCACTAATTGAACTGAATTGAACTCTCTGCACAGACTGCCCCTCGTTCACCAAGGTGTCCAACTGCACGCCCAAGTGCCTGCACGACAGCGAGTGCAGCGCCATTGGCGGCAAATGTTGTCCAAATCTGTGCAACGGACGCAGCTGCGCATCGCCCAATCTGCTGGGCAACTCGGGCGCCGACAAGTCGCCCTTTGGCAGCAAGAACTGTGAGTAGAACACGCCGAACTATCTGAGTTGACAGCTGTAACTGATCCGCTCTCTCCGCTACTTGCAGCTGGCGCCACGGGCAGCTACTGTGGCAATGTCAAGTGCGGCAGCTTCGAGAAATGCGAAACAGATCGCAGCACGAAGCGGCCCAAGTGCGTGCGCAGCTAGAGCGACTGCTACACTGATAACTGATTTTCTTTACTCTGCTTATCTTGTGTATGGACTCCAAATATAATTTTGGCTTGAATTAACGTATTTTCGGCTTTTATTTTTTTATTTTCTTGGATTCACTCACGGGTGCGGCTAGGACAGCGCTGACCAGCAGGCTGGCAATAAACACGAATTTAAACATTTTTGTTTGGTTTGCTTTTCTTTTTTTGTTGCTGAAGGTAGATTTAGTCGCGAGCTCTTCACGCTGCAAGTTGACTTTGTACTATGGCTTGTTGGCAGCCAGGTTGAGTTGCTTTTATAACACACTTGAGCACGCACACACACACATGTGCAGACATGCACATGGCAGCGACGCCGGCGCAGCAAGCTCTTCATTTTGGGCACTCGGATCTGGCTTTTTGGTTATGGGACAAGTTGTTTAACTTTTTGTTGTTGCCGCTGTCGCTGCTGATGCTGTCGCTTATGCATTTGAGTTGCGATCTTGGGGCTTTCTGTATTTCAAATTTTGTGCATTTTGCAATCGCCGACAGTGGCTGCAATTTGTCGAAGTACAGAGATGAGCCCTAGCAGCAGCAGCAGTCGCCACTCTCAGAAGATTGAAGAAGATTGCATTGCATAAGCCCTGCTCAAGGTCAGTTGGTCAATTGTGAACCAACAACAACAACAACAACAACGAAAGTCAGATGATAAAAAAATAAAAACTGAACCAGTTTCAGCAGCTCCCTTTAGAGTTGTAACTTCGCTTTTTTCACTCTTCTGCAAGTTGGACTTTACTTTTGTTTTTGTTTTTTTTTTGACATCTTATGTAATTTATGTGAAGTTTTTGTGCAAATTGAAAGCTTCGATTGTATGTGTATCATATGTGTGTGTGTGTGTGTGTGTCTTGGCCTTTTTCTTTGCGCTCACGAGGAAGTAAGCGGAGCATTACGTTGACTGTGGGCCACCCTTTTCAAACTGCGACGCCATAACAACTCAACGGAGTCTCAGGTGGGGGCGGGGCGGGGCGGKGCGCTGATCTGGTGCTGAAAGAGGCGAGCAATGCAATTTTCTTTTAAGTGCCCGCCACGCACAGTGGACACAAACGAGTTTGGCGTTTTATTTTGGCAAGGAAACAGCTCAAGACGATTAACATTTGAATGTGGCTTAAACAGATGCCAGTTCTGGTTAGACGACATCATAATTTCATGACCTGAATAAGTGATAATATTTATGTGAAATTCTTTTTTTTTTTAAATTGGTTTACAGAATCATTTTAACTTTAATTTTTTATTATTATTTTATGTCTTTTTTTGCATTTAATATATATATTTTTTTGCCAACTGTTTTTAAAAGAGTTAAATTTTAGCTTGTGCATAAACTCAGGAAGGTTATGTCTTCATTTTTGTACATTTATATAAATTACTTAATATAACTATAATTTATTTCCGTCTAAATCTTGACATTGGCCATTACCAAAACAATTTATAAATTGCATAAAAAAAGTTAAGCAAGCTATACTTTTAGTACAAAAAAATATAAAAAAA